GCGTCATCGTATGCCTGCATGTCTGCTCGCTAGGATTGGGAGGTGCGCCGTACAACTCTGTGTGCAGCGACCTTACAAACAGTGACCAATCATCAACCTCTATTTAACCTAATCCCCCATCCTGATCATGAGTAGCTCCCTGCGTGTACACTTAATCCGCAATATACATCCTGAACAGACGTGCTCCTTGCTACACGTCTGTTTCCTTTATAGCTGGGCTATAGCTTAGCTGGTTCTGGGAGTCTAGCTAGATGTTGGGGAGTCTGCCATAGAGATTTCTGAATCAGTCAGGCTTTAATAAAGTAGCAATCCGCTACAGACTCCAAATCTCATTTTACTAATTAGTATTAAAGTTACTTATTTGTGAACACACCATCCCCCAGATTTTAGTTATAATATTATCAGATAGCGACAATAACTGCTTAAATTTGCTTAATTAATGATAAATTTGATTGAAAGTGTGCGCAAAAAGAAGACACCACCACCATGGATGCAAACTAATTTTATGTCGAAATAATGACTGTTTTGCGATTTTTGTCTGCTTCACTATTTAATCACCATTTGTCAATCAGGAAAATACAAACTCTAATTCGTGACGCCAACATGCAATACCTCAACCACACCCTTGATGGAGAATATTTGCGAAAAAGTTAGTCATTTGAAACTTATAGCGGTATTCTTTAAAATACCAAGTATAAAAAGATATTGGGCGTATTTTTGTAATAAAGGTGTAGCAAACATTATGGATAATTCATGTTACAGGAACTAACAATTTTTTTTATAAAATCTTATAATTCCCAGTTAACTCTAGATTACATGGTAATTAAATATTGGAAAATGACTTAGTCTAATTAAGTATATGAAATTTAAAATCACAATAAACTAATTTTATGATTTTAATATAAGACTGCCTGTCTTTCTGTTTTGCATCTGCGAATCGCTCTTCTGGTCCCCACCCCTCGACTTTCTGCTACTTTGATGAACCATCCCTCTGTGAAGTCCGAAGTCAGCTGAATGGCTAATGATAGCTATCAAAACGCCTGCCATTTGAAATAAATAAATAATCACTAATTAAACATTATTTTTCATGAATAAATTTGTATAACCTTTTATAATTGCCAAATTAACGCTATTTAAAGTTTCTGACAGATCACTCTTTGCAGTAGTTTTTTGAAACTCGCGTTTTCATATTCCTTTATTTACTGATTTCGAGTAGTGTGACTGGCCATCCAAACCATTTGATGTGCACCAATAATTATTAAACTCATGCCCAAAATAACTACCCAGTATTAAATTTTCGACCTATTATCACTCTTAACTTAAGAAAAAACATGATAAAAGAAACAAAATGAAACCTTTTATTAAAATTATGTTAATTTTTCGACAAAGGAAGCAAGAGATAAACCGACATTTTAGCTTCAACAATAAGATAGTGATTGACGTCTCTAAGTGGGGTACGATGATCTAATGAATATCCCAATACAATCAAATAAACTTTTACTCCCAACAGCCAAATCAAAAATAGTTTTGCAAATTTCAAATTCAGCAAGACTTCTTACACTTGGTTTCCAGATTAACACCCCCTCGCACCCCTCCCCAATTGGATTCTATAGCCGACTTTATATTTTGCCAACATTATGAGTAAATGTGGTTTGTTTTTAGTGGCCAACTTGAAAAGCTAATCGATGGCATACTGAACAGAAGCACTATCTTCAATATGGTTGAAGTTTTCACTTTTAAATCGATAGTTGCACTGCGGCTTTCTGCGCTGCGGAGCCAACACCATTTGCAAACCTCTGAGGCTATGTGACTCAACTGGGACAATTTGGTAATAAGGGGAAAAGTCAACTCCCCTTTGGGTGGGTAATCAATTAGTGCGCGATATTCTGGGTGAATTAAATAAAATTAACCTGATAAAGATACTCATGTCCACTCCTTCTCATTACCCAAGAACACCTCGCATATTGTAGTTCTGGAAGTGCCGATAATTACAAGCTCCACCGCCGAGCCAAATGGGGGAATTGAAAAAAGAAAAGCGAGTTTGTATTACTTCCTCGGAATTCGAACTTACACTTCAGAAGCGGGGACTTGGCTTAACAAAATTCGAAAGCCCAGGTCTTTGATTACTAGACTTGGAAGTCGTCTTTTAGCCATTCAACGTTCATTAAGTTCAAAGTTGATTGACTTGGTGAAATACTGAAGAGTTTGGAGAGCGCACAACGCCACCATGGCCGAAGAAAGAAATTTCATGCGCACTCAGATAAGTTGAAGTGCTATTTCGATCGCCGAGGCCTCTCAGGCAACCACCAATTAATAGTCACTACATTGTTTAACAAATCCGTCATTGCACTATAATGACTGAACTCCATGTCAGATACAGTCCAAATAAAAGTATTCCACACCATACGTCGTTGAGGTAGTTAGCTACCTTCGGTAGACTTCCCATACTAAGGGTTGGTGACATAGAAATTAATGGACATAAATCAAGGCTTATCCATGTGGCAGTCTGCTGAAAATTTGACCATACCCATGTTGGTAATTCCAACTCTTTATGGACACTAATCAAGACTTAGTGGAATATTAAGTGCACACAATGGATTTATTAAAATAATCAATACACTTCATAGATGTAATAATATAATATTTCTTTTCTATAAAAAATTAATTGACTATAAAATTTAATCAAACCACTCAATCAAATTGAAATCTCCCTTTAGTTATTTAATAATATTTGAAGAAAGTCATCACCATTCCATTAAATTTTGTGAATAAATGGATCATAAAGGAAAGATCAAATTGTAAAAATTCTTACTTTTAAAGTTCTTAATCCAAAATTGGATAAAAAGCCATTTTCATACATTGGTATCGAAAAAATTTTCCGCTGTTTTAAAGTTCTTTAAAAGTAAAACAAGTTTTATACTTCAAAAGCTGACTGACCTCTCAAAGCGGCCTTAAGGGCGAATTTCATATCGAAATTGCACTAAGCATCAACTTTGCAATTTTAAATAATGTTTTCTAACTTAAAATGACACTGTGTTCAGGGGCTACTGACTTTTAAATTAACAAGAAGAAGAATAAGACTTTGACACTTTCCAAGTGATTCCAATTAAGATCTCAGATATTTAGAATTTGGAACGCTTCATCTCTCTTAAAAACTGATGCAACATGAATAGGGAAATCAAATATTCAAAGAAAAATTTGCTATCCTCGTCTTAATGCTATCATGCCTCCATATTTCCCTAATTTTCAGGTGATTTTCAGTAAATAAATAATTTTGAAAGTAACAAAAAATCAATGAATCAGTTTCACGTTACCTCATTAGATGATTAAAATAGTCATAACTTCAAATATGGCGGAAAATTTTATTGCATTCCAAAGGTAATATAATATTAGAAAAGTCAATTTTTCGATAATAAGTACCTGAAAAGTGAGAAAAATGACAATAACAACTCCTGATGGAAATATTCTTCTTTTATAACGATGTGCCTGGCTTATCCACTTCTTCTGAAGGTACAATAAGAACAGGTATCTTAGTATCCCCGATGAGATCATAAATGCTCTCTCCCAGTGCTGTTGTCACTATCAAATCGGCTTTCTCCTGATCAGCAAGCATGTTTAGTTCACCAGCTATATCAGTATCAGCTATGCAAGTAGTGCTAAATTTCACACCCGCTTTCCTCGCAAACTCCTTGTATTCGTCCTCAATTTCGTGCACCTCATCGAAATCCAATTTGAAATCTTCGCTAGGATTGAAGGAACTGCTCTCTAGGTTAATAACTCCGCGAGAGTATTTTGGATGGACAATATTGACAAATATGATGGAGTCGCTCTGGCGGTAACCAAAACTGAAGAACCATTCGATTGCTGCACGAACTTTGGAACTCTTATCCAAGGGGAATAGGACTTTCCTTCCACGTTCTGCTTTGCTTTGGGCGTTTGGATCTACAGGTTTCGCTTGCGACATGATGCACAGTAGTGTGATACCTTCAAGCTTTGTGAGTTAAGTGCAGCATCTTGGTATAAGCTTCAATAAGCCAATTGATTCAATTTTATTACATGGATGGCAGCCAATCAGTAAATGGCACTTTTATTTAAAGCATTTCTAGTTGCCAATCGTTAAATCTATTTTGAGAGAAATGGCACCTTTGATCTTACATGCTGAATACGCGTTGATAGATAATATATATATATATATATATTCAATCAAAAGACATTAGAAAGTGAAGTATTTATCCTACATTGTTTCATTTCAAATTCGTTCATACCTCTTAGGCATGATAGGAGTAAAATTACGGGAAATTGACGGCAGAAAAAGTTGTAAATCATTGTTCTATTAAACTTAAAATGAGCATACACACTTAAAATAGAATTATAAGAAACATCATTTTCAGAAATCGAAAATGATATATTAATGCGATTTACACTTTAAGTTTCACAAGTAGTAAGTGTACTAGTAAAGATCTAGGAAACACTAATTCTCCTTCCTCTGCATTAAGAAAATTTAAAAAAAACAATGAATCGAAATTCATGATAAAACCACTTTCATGAAATCAAGTCCTCTGGAGAGTGTGTGTGTGATTGAATTCTTGCTTCAAAGAGCACATATCCGCTAATCAGTGTGAAAAGAAATACGTAGGTATGAATATGTGTAAGCCCAGGAAACAAAAAAGGCCCTATTTCTAATTGTACTGTATTCGATAATTATTTCAAGATTAGTTAATTAATACTGTTTGTATTATATTTTGAGTTCTATTGCTAGCCAATTAAGTAAAATTGCCAAATATATACATTTTCGCAATTTTCTCTGCGTAATTATAAAATGGGGAGGGGGGGGNCCCCCCCATACATGTCAGCATGCACATTCACCCTTTAATGCCAGTAAAGATCAAAGCGAGAATTAGCAAAGTATTAAAAGCGATGAAAGTAAAATGAATTGGCAAACTCCAAGCCAATTTGCACGTTCGGAATTTGGACAGGGATTACCCTGTGAGTTAGGTAGTTAGCTGTCAGTTGACACACACTCAGATCTCCAAACACCAGTAATTTATAATAAGTGAAAATCTGATTCATAAAAGAGATGAGCTAGTATGGAGTTTCAAATAGAAGTGTTCCCAAGTCCATTTAGAAAAGCATTTTCATCACCCGAGTGTTGGATAGTGGAGAAAAATCGTAGATCTCCTCTGATGAATAAATTGGAGTTTGGCTACTGATTCCATTCTAGCCTGACCAAACCAGCGTGGTTGGCCTCATTTCCTTCGATGGGTATGCGCAGATAAATATCGAAACAGCTATCTCTGATCTCACGAATTAAGCGCATTAACACATAAATTTGATTAAGGGAAGTACACTAGACGTGCTCATATATAGCAGAAATACTATGTGGCTACAAAACAGTCATCAGCAGACAATAAAATGAGGTATTAAGGAATCTTCGACCCTCCCTCACCCCCCCCCCCCCCCCCCCCCCCCCCCACCACTAAATAGGTTTGAGAGTTAAAGTGGTAGTAAACTTCAGTGATCGGTAAACCAGCTGCACAACGTTATATCAATGGCAAACCAGTTTTCAATATAGGACAAGACCAAAAGATATTTCCTGGGGGTAAATCAGTTCGTATTGAGATAAAAAAATAGTGCGACAAGAATGAGGATATGAAGATAGTGGAGAAGGAAGACTCGTAATGCAGTGCATTCGCAAGGAAAGGCGGGACAGCCAACAGTCTGTCTGCTTGTCCGCTGGAATACGAGTGTGCATGTCATGAGGCGTGCGTGTGTGTGCACGCGGGACGACGAATAATCGGACACTATATACAAGGCAGGCATGTGTGCAGGCGGACAGCACACGCCTTTTTAGGCACACTTCTTCCAAGTGCTTAAGTGAATGTGATTGTACATACTTTTACTTGGCAAGCGGGATGGGGGAAAGTGACAGGGTAATTAGGGAATTTGTCATGCGCCTATCTCTCCCTCACCCTCTCTCTCTCTCCCTCTATGCGAGTAAACAGGTCACCAAATTACTTATTATTGATCTACTCTCCCCACCCCCTCACCTCACCCACCCCTCCATTTCATGTTATAATCATCAAATTCACATCCTTCCCCTTCATTAGCGCTAACAAGTTCTGTAGCTGTAGAGATAGGAGAGTAGTGCAACCACCGGATACTTTCAAACTTGGCCAACGTTTTCTTCTACTCACCGACGAAATTGAAAAATAGCCTATTGAATGTAGGACTTTCAATTTATATAAACAAATAAAAGTTTTAGTTAAAACGGACAATCAGTAAAATTTTCAACCAATCTTTTTAAGAACAAAGACCTGTACGGAAATCTACTTTCACCCACAGTTTAATATTGAATGCAATGCCACTCTTTGTCACGATATTTTTAAGCTGTTAATGATTCTATGTGGGGTGTGCGACAGACTTACCTCCACGCGGTGCACCCTGGGCAATGTATACTCGTACGGCAAAAAAAGTCTATTAACCGGCATTTGACTTTTGAATTCAAACTACCATGCCCTGACTGCTTGTCATATTCGACCCCTTCCACAGTGCTCACCTTACCTTTTTCTCTACCTTTGTGTCTGTCTGCCTCTTTTACATCTGTGAATCGCTCTTCTGTTCCCCACCCCTCGACTTTCTGCTACTTTGANGGGGGGGGGGGGTTGGCGCGATAGACTTACCTCCATGTGGTACAGCCTGGGCAACGAATACCCATACGGCAAAAAATGCCTATAAACGAGCAGTCAACTTCTAAGACCCGATGGGATGCCATATTCGACCACTTCCGCAGTATTCACCTTACCAAACCCCTTTCTCTACCTTTATGCCTGCCTCTTTTACATTAAGGAATCACTCTTCTGTTCCCCTCTCAACGCTTGGTGACTTTGATGTTCCTCCCCTCTGTGAAGCCCGAAGTCAACCAAAGGATTACTGATGGCTATCATAAAGTCTGTCATTTGACATAAATTAAAAAAATTAGGGCAAAATATCGCACAATTGAGCCTGTTTTACAGTTTTTCAAGTGAAAATGATTCTGTTAGTATATAAAAATCAAACGTGAATCAGTTTTAATGATGTTTATCCTTTAATTTTTAAATAAGCTTATCTTCCTTTCATCACAGTCTAATTTTCCAGGCAAAACGGACTCAAGTCACTCGATGAAGGCGTATATCATAGTTACAATTCACTTCAAACAACCATCACCCCACTGTATGTCATATTTGACCCCTACCACACTACTCATCTTACCCTTTCTGAGCCTTTGTGTCTGTTTTGTTTACATCTTTGAAACACCCTTCTATTCCCCCTCCTGAATTCTTCTCACTTTGATGTTCCTCCTCCCCTCTGTGAAGCCCGAAGTCAACTAAAAGGCTAATGATAACTATCAAAACGCCTGCCATTTGATATAAATAAATAAATAGTTACAATTCACAATTCTTTCGGCTTGAGAACTTGCGAAGCGTCAAGAGGGGGGGGGGAGGGAATTGTGAAGTGTAACAAAACCCTAAAAAACCAGGGAATTGTAAAGGGTCACACCCGGAACTCCATGCAACGCTTTTCATGTTCCATCTTATTAAATGCACCTCAGTAAGTTGTAAGTCAAAATTTTATCAGGCGTTCAACGAATGGCCATATGCGCTTTTTTGCTATTTATTACTAGATTAGATGCACCCAAAAAAATGGGTTAGTTTATTTAATCAATAATACGGAGATTTGTGATAAAAATTGAGAGGATACAATAATGACAGTCCATTTGAACATGTAAATGTTGACTCCCCCCCCCCCCCCTCCCCACCACCCATCTTTGGGTGTATATTCATTATTATTGAATTAAAGTGTTTTCTTCGAGGCGGCTAGGTAGTTTACGTGAGCTCAAAAAGAAACGACCTCATGCTCGACTAAGTGAGCTTTCAATCACAACGTGTATAAGTGGACTGTCGTCATTGTATCCTCTTTAACGATTATCGAATTACAATAACACTTGAAGGGAAGGTGGTGAATTACCAAAATTCATTAACACGCCAGTGGAAATAACATCAAAATCGAAAACCATAGGAAGCAACTGTTCATCAGGGGATTAATTGCTCAACTTGGGTGATATAGCGTAATAATATGCATATTAAGTGAAGTAAAGAAAGTGGATATTTTTTCCTTAATTTTGACTGATACCCATTTTTCGTCATATCATCGGACTATTCTGTACATATATGTGAACAAAGTGGAGCTGCCTTTTAATAGTGAGATTTTAGATTCACTCTTTATTTGAGTTCTTAGACGAAAAAACGAGCCAATTAGGACTTGGATCTAAATGCATTTAGGGCTTATTGAAAGGCTTTTTATCCAGATCATTGGCAAATCAATCTTCTTCAAAATTGAAAATAGGCCAAAAAATATTCCTCCACAAGCCTCAAGCCAAGAGACGGCCTCATTTTTGACAAAAAGTTTCGATCGAAATTTTTATATTTGTTCACCTTTTTTTCGCCAAAAGCAACACACCTTTGCAAGAAAGAGAGTAGTGGTGAAAGAGTGGAGTAAAGAGTGTGTTGGCATTGAATGCATAAATGTGCAGTCGAATGATTGATTGATGTCGGGGGGGGGGGGCACTTTTTTCGACTATGAAAGTTCCAAAGGCACGTTTGGCCTCTGAACTCACTCCACCTATGTATGAATAGGCCACTGTGGATAAAGACACTAATCACCATATCATTACATCAAAAGCCAAGCAAATGGTACTGGATTTTTTTTGGTGCTTTGCATCACTTAACTTTAAGTTTTCGTCTAAGGCAGGTTTAGGGGTCCTAGAAGGGATGAAGACCGTAGCAGACTTTAAAGGAGGAATCTTGAGTGAAACTCATTGTCCGAAGTGCAGCTTCTTTTAATTCCCGTTAATTTTATAATTGCCAATCAAGATATTTTTCTTTTTTCTGATGACAATTTCAGAGTCAACTCGAACATCCAAAGTTCTAACTGAAGGGAAAGTCAACAGTAGATGACGATAAATAGGAAATTGGTCGTCCAAAAATTGTGTAGCCAATAAAGTCAAGATTGTGTATTTTTAACAATTGGAGAGAAAAAGACCAATAGCAAGCAAACACAACAATTTTGAAATTTCTCACTTCCAAAGAATAATTCTCGAATAAGCATAAATTTAGCATATTAATTATTATTATTACACTACTCACTCCATTTCGGTACAAATTTTTTATCGCCGTATTCATTTCAATGCTCCAATATATTTTTTTATTTTTTTGTCTTATTTTTTGGTCCATGCATACTGAATCTTTTATCCTCTTTACAAGAAGTGCACATAACTACCAAATACCATTTTTCAAAGAAAACATTTTTTGTCTGAAGAAATCTTTAAAGGTCGTAATTTGCAAATCTGAGTAGACTTTGGAGATTTTCCAAAGCCATTGCATTAGATACCGCCAACACGGGGTTCAAAGTTTAATGAAAACTTTAATTACCTAGTTAACTACCCGCTTGTATCAAACCACTTATTGTCTGACAGTTAAAATTTGTACGCTAATGGAATTATCACCAAGTAGAGATTTAACTATTACTAATTTAATAACATATAGGTAATAGCATAAGGAATATACTTTAAAAATACACTTATAACTAAATAAAATTTTTTAAATCTGCTCAAAGAATTCATATTTTGCGTTTAATTATATACATTATATTGAAGCTCTTTAATTGAAACAATATCAAATTGTTCCTTCAAATTGCAGTTAGCACGTATTCATATGAAATGGCATAATTTAAAATTAGTATTCTTTTCGCTTATATCACTCGAATAAGATGGCAAATGATATTGATTTATCCCCTAAAAGAAAATAAGTATATGAATCTTCAAGTACAGATGTAAACGATTGTATTAAATACGGTTTTAGTAATAGTAATTATAATAATATCAACAGAAGTTAATGATTAATAAAACGAGAAAGTGAATAGTAAGTATTTAAAATTAATGCCGATTAGTCCGTAATATTAAAAGATGTGGAACGACTAGCATTAGGGACCATCAAGACAGGTATATTGGAATGGGTGACAAGGTAACGCGATACATCACCAAGCAGTGTGCGGCGGAATGTTCCAGCACTTCGACTTCCCACAATGATTATATTAGCCTGACATTCTGTCGCCAAACGTAGAACAGCTTCACCAACCGACGAATTGGCCAAGATTTCAGTCTTAAAATCAGTGACACCAGCTGCCTCCGCTAGTTTGGCATACTTCAACGTCGTTGCAGCAGGATCAGTATAATTAAGTGAAAAATCTTTCGTTACTTGAGTTATGCTCTCTGGATAATCCACGGTTACAATCACATCTGTATGAGAGGACTTTGGTTGCATGACGTGGGCGAAAAAGACAAAGTCATTCTTTCGGTGGATATATTTTACGTACCAGTTGAAGGCTCGATGACAGTGTAAGCTACCGTCAACAGCAATAACTACACGTCGTCCGAGTGGTTCGTTGCTCATAATTTAAACTGATCAAGATTATCGTTTTTAAACTGATAAAAAAGTACCTTAGGATTCTTTTCATTTATATACATACGAGTATTGACTTTTACATATTATCGAAAATGAGTTGCATAGTGTTAAGCCAATCCCCTTTTCACATTTATTAAGGCATTAGTGCAATTACACTACAATCACACAAAGAGACATAAAATTGAAATCTGCACGTGATTTCGAACCCTATACGCACTTATATATCGTTTCAAAAGAGATGAGTTGTACGTAGACAATTTTCGTTGAGAAAAAATCAGTCAATGTTCTTGAAAATTATGTCTATCATGTAAAAAGGTTGAAAGTAATCAATTTTGAAAGAAAATGTTCCTTACAAACAATGATCTTGAATGGACCCTCGTCTGTTCCGCATATTACGATCATGTAATACCGTCATGATCTTTACATTTAGCAAAGAAAAAAAGAAGATACGAATCAGTTAGACTAGACACCGTGGGAAAAGCATTTGCTTCGAAACACAAGGAATGAATAATGAAATTCGAATGTTGGACCATTAATTAAATAAAAGTATTCCCCAGTTGAGAGTTATTTTAGTAAAATTAAAGAAAATGGGGCGAATTGGATTTGAAGATCATTATCGGGAAGGCTTTGGCTTAGGGCATTATGCCATGGATAAAGTAAGTTAAAAAAGAACATCTTACGATTTAGGAGTTGGGGTGTGTGATAGACT